GGTTGACAATGATGCATTATTTAACATGGGTGGTACACGCTCAAGGAGACACAGTTGAAGCTGAGTACCCAAATGAGCCACAGAGACATTAGGAAGAACTTTTTCAGTGTCAGGGAAGTTAGTAAATGGAATGCACTAGGAAGTGATGTGGTGGAGGCTGACTCCATACACAGTTTGAAATGCAGATATGATAGAACCCAGTAGGCTCAGGAATCTGTACACCAGTTGATATACAGTTGAGAGGCGGGACCAAAGAGCCAAAAACTCAAATTTGTACACCCCTCACCTATATGTACTCAAAGAATGCAAATAAGTGAGTACACACACACACACACACACACAATGTACACATATGTACACTTAAAAAATTGTGCACATAAGAATGTACACATAAGAAATTCCAGGAGGTCTTCACCTTAGAGTAAGGAGAAATTCCAGAGATAAGAGAGGGAATAGTTAACCAGGAACCACTAAAAAAGTTTGAGATTACCAGTGGGTAAGTAAGGAAGTTTTTACTAGAGATGGATGTGACAAAGGCTATAGGCCCAGATAGAATCTCCCCTTGGATACTAAAGCAAGGAGCAGAAGCATTGTGCCTGCCACTCTCTATAGTATATAGCAAATCACTGGCAACAGGGGGAACTGCCATAAATTTGGAAAGCAGCTAATGTAGTCCCGATATACAAGAAAGGGGATAGACAGGAGGCACTGAACTACAGGCCAGTGTCCCTAACCTGCATACCATGGATGCTGATGGAGAAGAATGCGTGAAGAAAGCTAGTGGAACATCTGGAGCGAAAGAACTTTGTAACACAGAATCAACATGGGTTCAAGGATGGCAAGTCCTACCTCACAGGGTTAATGGAATTCTACGACCTGGCAACAAAAATCAGGCAAGAAAGAAAGGGGTGGGCAGACTGCATAATTTTGGATTGTCAGAAAGCCTTTGACACAGTGCCACACAAGAGGCTAGTGAAAAAGCTGGAGATGCAGGCTGGAGTGAAAGGGAAGGTACTCCATTGGATAAGGGAGTACCTAAGCAACAGAAGACAACGAGTCACTGTGAGGGGCGAAGTCTAAGATTGGCGAGACGTCACAAGTGGAGTCCCGCAGGAGTCAGTCCATGGACCTATACTGTTTCTGATATATGTAAATGATCTCCCAGAGTGTATAGACTCGTTTCTCTCAATGTTTGCTGACGATGCAAAAATTATGAGGAGAATTGAAACAGAGGATGATAGTAGGAGACTACAAGATGACCAACACAGACTGAATGAATTCTCCAACAAATGGCTGCTAAAGTTCAACCCGAGTAAATGCAAAGTAATGCAACTAGGCGGTGGAAACAGGAGGCCAGACACAGGATACAGAATAGGAGATAAAGTGCTTCGTGAAACGGACAGAGAGAAAGATCTAAGAGTTGATATCACACCAAACCTGTCTCCTGAAGCCCACATAAAAAGAATTACGTCTGCAGCATATGCGAGGCTGGCTAACATTCGAACAGCCTTCAGGAACCAGTGTAAGGAATCATTCAGAATCTTGTGTACCACATATGTAAGACCAATCCTGGAATATGCGGCCCCAGCAAGGAGCCCGTACCTTGTCAAGCACAAGACGAAGCTGGAAAAAGTTCAGAGGTATGCCACTAGACTAGTCCCAAAACTAAGAGGCATGAGTTACGAGGAAAGGCTGCGGGAAATGCACCTCACGACACTGGAAGACAGAGGAGTAATAGGAGACATGATCACAACCTACAAAATCCTCAGGGGAATTGACAGGGTAGATAAGGATAAACTGTTTAACATGGGTGGTACGCGAATAAGGGGACACAGATGGAGACTGAGTACCCAAATGAGGCACAGGGACGTTAGAAATCAATTTTTCCAGTGTCCGGGTAGTTAACAGATGGAATGTCAATGTAAGTATAGTATGCTCATGTAAAATGTCTGTGTAAGTATAATATGGTCATGTAAAGTGTCAGTTTAAGTATAATATGGTCATGTAGAGTATGTCAGTGTAAGTATAGTATAGTCATGTAAAGTGTGCATTCAATACAGTATTCGACTATATATTTTAGTAACTAAATGTGGGAGGCCTTATCTTTATGGATGATACCTAGACAAGCAGATATGGATATGGATGAACACTCCTCGTGGTTGAGGCTGGCATCAACACATGTACTGGTTGTGCCAAGTAGTTGTTAACTGTGCTTCTTCTTCTTCAATTACACCTGTCATAGGGCACTCACAAATAATAGCAGTAACCTAATATGACAGCTATATCAGGGAACTATTATAATTTTTTAAATAAAGATCTGAGAATATTGCTCACCCTATTTTGTCTCGACTAGTGTTCTAACCGACTCACCCTATATCTACCTAACATAACTGGCCAGGAATGTAAAGATAATAAATGGGTTTCAGGTAAGGACACCTCCCTGATCTGTAGACAAAGATCGTGTTGATAATGGGAGCACTTTACAACCCATAACACAGTTTTCCAAGGGAAAATTTATTGGAGCTCGATTTGCCCTGGTGAGACTTGTTAGATTTAAATGGTGATTCACTGTGGCCTTCTCCCACTGATGCCTTCTCTGTTTTGTCTAGATGTCTTCACGAGGGTTAGAGGGCCCACATTTACTCTATTTTGGTACTGATAATTAAGTTGATTAAATGGAAATATTTTTATGATGTTTACAGTCCAAAGACTGATGTATTAAGAATGTTTCCCATTATTTGGGGGTAAAACTAATAGCGACATGTGGCAATTATATTCCCCGTTTTCTACTGAAGAAAATAATCTGTGCTACATCTTCTATGAGTTAATTTGTTTATTACAAAAAAGGCAGCAATATTATCTGCATAATGTATTAAAAGTTAGTAAATGGTATCGGTTTTCCGACAAGTATACTATGATCATGTAAAGTATGTCATTGTAAATATAGTATGATCATGTAAAATATGTCAGTGTCTCTATAGGTATTCTTAATATTTATTAGGCTTTTATTCATATCATCTATGTTGAGGTAACTTGTATTACAAGTTAGGTTTTGGGTCAGGATGGCTCAGAGTCTTTTAATCCTGTACACTCGTGACAGAGAATATGTTAATGTTTTAACATTAAAGCTTCGTTCCATCTGCTTGGCCAAAACATCTTTCCAGTCTAATTATGCAGCCCCTCTTCCTGTTTTAGTAGTACTTATAGTAACGATGTACAGTACATATATCGACTTACAACGCAAACCTAAAGTAGAAATCTGTTCTATTGAATTTGGACGAACCGGAAAAGGTTTTTGTATTTATGTTGCTAAGACAACCTAAACTCACCTTATCAAACATTCCTAGGACTAATACACGCTAACTGAGGCCTAATATAGTACATATGTGTGCTATACTACGCATAGGAATATTTTAAAAAATTGCTTAATTTTATTATAACTATATAATGAATAGTACCAAATTCTACTATATAATTGCTTAGCACGTCAATATTTATACTATGGTGTACATAGCTACAATAACTACTGTCTAAACAAGAGGATGGGTTGAATTATGATATATTTTATTATTTTCTGTCTAAAATAACTATGTTTTAAATTTCAGGGAAATTGATTGGTTAATAGCAAAACTACACTTATAAATATATAGAATCGGGTCCAAGAACTAACTTCTGATGAACTTTTAAGAAATATCTGCTCAAGTCTGTAGAGTTTAATTATATCCGTAAGAACTCTTTTAAGACTGCAGCGAGGATTAAAACTGAAAAAAATCGGCCATAAACTAGTCGCTGACAAATTTCGGTCTTTAAATGGACTTTGAAAAAATTTGGTCTCAAATTGAACTCTGAAAAAAATCAGCCTGAAACTATGTGACAGAGCGATGACTTCTTTGGAGTTCGCTAAATACAGTGGTCAGCAGCACTGACTTTTGGGAGTTCATTCAATATGGTGGTCGGCAACGAGAATTTTTTGGGAGTTCGCTCAATACCATGGTCCGCAGATATGATCTTCAAAAAAAAAAAAAAAAAATATTGCTAAGCTGTCAATCCTACTACTATAGACCTCCAGGAAGTACCAATAAGTAGTGCTGGACCACCAGGAAGTATCAATATGTAGTGATAGACCACCAGAAAGTTAATTTTGTATTATTGAAGTTGGACAAACCTAAAACTTTTTTACCCGCAACATAACTTTACCTGAATTTACTTGAGGAACACTAACACTCTAGTGGCCTCGACGAGGACAGGAAGCCGGTGACTTGTCAAAGGAACCCACAATGGTCCTGGTGATTTTTCAAGATAGATTTTAAAGTTCCAAAGAGTTTTGAAATTTACGACTTCGGCGGGTAAGCGGTTCCGTGGATTTATTACCTGAGGGTCAAAAAGCATCTCCAGTTTTGTGTTCCACAATGTGACTTATTGAGCTTGAACCCGTTGCTCCTTGTTTGTCTTACATCTGACCTTTTGAAGGAATTGTCTGGATAAACAGCTTTACAATTTGTTAAGTATTTTAAGTGTCGACAAGACCCGCCCCGCGAAGCCTGGTCTGTAGTGTTGATAGCCCTGTGGCCCCTCAACCCTTATTGGTAAGACAGCTCATGTCTTAGTATAAGACCTTACCAATACTAACCTCCACCAGCAATCCTAGGCCTAATACAGTACACACACACACACACATACATATATATATATATATATATATATATATATATATATATATATATATATATATATATATATATATATATATATATATATATATATATATATATATATATATATATTATATATATATATGCAATATTAGGCCTAGAAAAATTATTGTCTGGTTTTACTTATATTTATTATTTACTCCTTAAATTAATAGTAGACAGCCTGGTGTAATGGTGCTCATCAGTTCTCTCGACCAAAACGTTACTTAAAGTACTATCGCCTCAGGAGTCTGCGTTGCTAGAAGCAATGTGTCATCTCCTTGTCTGTGTCACACTCACACTCACATTCCATAAATGTTTACCTTAACACTGACAACATTTATATAGAGATGCAAGTAAAACATCCTGACTACTCACCGCCTTAAGTTCCTCAGTGATTGTCTGCTCCAGTTTGAACCTTGGGAAGTGAAGATCTACTTCCACCTCTTCCAGGTTGGTGAGGGCGTGGTGGAGGGTGTCGTGGGAGAGGCGCCGCAGCATGGCGTCCAGGGGCGTGGCGGAGTTACCAGGGGCGCCGCCGGGGGTGTTGTCAGGCAGCAACACCAACATGGACGCCGCCTTCCCCTTGTACGGCATCTCTAACACTGTCGCTCCCAGCTCACTCGAGACTCCTGCAACCACAGACCACTGTAACCAGTGTTCACTCTCAGGGCTGTCACACTAGTCTACTGTAACCACAGACCACTGTAACCGGCTTTGTTAAAGCCTTCCCCCCCTTATATTTCTCCCACGCCTGCTGTAGGAGTCATGTCCACTTTACCCGAGCGTTCTCTGCGTCGCGGGCATCAGTTTGATATATGTGGGAGAGTGTAGTGTTCTCGAGGTGGCGAGAAATTTATAAAAGAAGAGTATTTTGGCCTGTGGTATAGGCCCTTTAGGACGCCAATATGGCGCTGGCCCCTCCGTTTTGCCGCCAATACTGTGTGACGTCAGTGGTGCCAGATTGATCACTGACAGTGACGTGGCACAGGGAGCTAATGAAAACCTCCCTTGGCAAGTATGACATCACGAAGGCAGGGGGGTCCAGAGATCGCGCCTCTGTGGCGCCACCAGTCTGAGACAGCACGTCAAGGAGGTCGGACGTGTGCTGGGGGGTCCTGTCAGTTGGACAGTTTACCCCGTCTCCGGAGGATTTACGCATCACCAGCGGTATGCCAGCACCTGTGGGGTCTTCCTTCGTTCATGTGTTGGACCAGAGAAGGAATTGACGAAATATTGAGCAACAAGTGCTCCTGGGACAGGTGTTGTGCAGGTGAAGTCTAGGCAGTGACGTATGGTACGTCTGATAGCTTCACCGTGATGACGTAGCGGCCGGGCCAATCCTCCGTGAGGGAATCAGTCTGACACGACACGTCAAGGTGGACGGATGTGTGAAGGTTGGTCCTGACAGTTTGACAGTTGTTCCCCGATCCCGTGGATCTTATGTGTCACCCATAGTCTGTAAGCACGCCGAGAGGTCTTCCTTCATTCCATGTGTGGACCGAAGAGGGAATTGACGAAATATTGAGCAACAAGTGCTCCTGGGACGGGTGTTGTGCAAGTGAAGTCTAGGCAGTGTCGTCTAGGGCGTCTGATAGCTTCACAGTGACGACGTAGCGGCTGGGCCAATCCACCGTGAAGCAGTGAATGAAGGAACTAATTGGGAATCCGGACGACTACAGCCGAGAAGTAGGTTGTTAGCCATAGCTGGGAGGAGAAGTTGACGGCTGGGAGACTGACTCTAACCCTACAAGACGTTGAGGAGGAGCACAGACCTGCGGAGGACAGAACATGGAGACGACGCGTTTATTTTGGGACGTTGATTGGGTTCCTGGAGGACACATCAGTGCGTGTGTGGGGGCGTTCTCTACACGAGGCGAGAGCCTGGACCAGGAGCTACAATTCGACACTCACCGGAGGATAGGTGGAAGTAGGTGATTCTAGTTTCCCTCCCAATTCCCCTTTAGTCAGCTATATATTTAGCCAGAGTATCTTTCATGTCGTGAGCAAGTCTCACCTAGGTCTATGTCACAGTAAGGCACAGTAGTGCAGAGTGGGGCTGTATAGAGCACTCACGATATTTATTATATGTGGTGTGTGCAGGCACCTGGAATGATTGAAGAATTTACTATGTCGATAATTCCTTTCATGTGACTTTAATATGATAACTTAGTGAGAGAATATATATATATATATATATATATATATATATATATATATATATATATATATATATATATATATATATATATATATATATATATATATATATATATTATATAAGTGTACAAGTTAATGGTGTTAGGCTATGTGCCCAATATTTATATTATTACTACTATTGTTATCTATGATTTATCTATATATATATGTGCTTGTGTGTGAATAATTTCTCATGGGTGCAGTCATCAATTGAATATTCGCCTACGAAAGGAATTACTGAGATCTCCAGTACTATATCTTGTTGCATTCGTTATCATCATGTGAAGTACAGTGTGTTACGCCATGATAAGGAATTATTATGTTCATTAATGTAAAAATGTTTGATTGAGCTCAAGTTCAGTGCAGTGAATCATTTGCGTTCTATTGCCATTGTTGCAAATGTTGTGTTGTTTGAACATTTAGCGACGTTTGAGAATTCAAAGAAATAGGCGCCTAACGCCAACAAACAAGTGCAGTAAGAGATCACGCAGTGAGGGGGGGGGAGTCGCCCAGCTGATTTGACGTTGACATGAGGGGAGCATTGCCATCTTGGTGTGTTCCTGATTATATGTGGAGAGCGAGCGACTTTTGCACGTACTAGCTGTTTGCTTGTTGATATAAGAATATGATGTCTTGAGTTTTAAGTAAAATACAAAATACCTTGGCGTTTGTATCATCCCCTCCATATTTCTTGTGGCTATATAATACTTGAAAGGAGAAAGAGTGATAGAAATAAATACCTGCCTGATATCAGGTCTATAGAGTGTGCTCTTGCCACTGTTACCACAATTCCACAATACCACTGACGTGTTACTGGACACGGGAAACACCAGTTGGCGACCTTGTGGTTAGTAGTAGAGCCCTTGTCGGGGCGGGCACACGGTGAGAGAGCAAACTGTGTTCTCACTCATCTCTGGCTAAAGAGGCCGGCCGGGGATCGACTGGGATACTCTCCGGGCGTACAGTAGTGCCGCGAGGATTCAGTGAAGACCCGCAGGGCTACGGTGAGTGACCTTGTGGACACTGTGATATAGTAAGAAAGAGGGAACCCTATATATATATATATATATATATATATATATATATATATATATATATATATATATATATATATATATATATATATATATATACATATGACATCCAAGTTGGGTCATCATGTCAACAAGGCTGTGTTGGCTCGGGGTGGTGAAGAACTTCTGCTTGGTTGTTTGGGTTAGGTTGAATTGACTCAACCAGAAACCTTTGAAGTAGACGGTGTTGACCAGCGCCATCAGTGTCGGTGCCACGTCGCTCTCTGTCACCACAGTTGGGATCTTGCCTCGCGTTGTTTTGTTCACGAACTGGTTGATTGTCGCAGCTGCTTTGGCCGCCTGTCAACATAACGATAAGATTAAGCTCAGTGCCTTTACGTGACTCTTCAATCCATCACATTATAAGCTGACAATTGTTCCTACCGACCTTTCAAGGGGGAGAGTTAGAGAAGTAACATAAAGAAGTTCTTTGGATTTTAAGAAAAAAGTTTTCTGAATCCAATTTCAGAGGATTGGAAGTTAACTGTTGTAGAGAATCTAAGCTCAGGTGTTCAGACAAGACCTTAGTGATTGGTCACCACAGGTCAGGTGTTCAGACAAGACCTTAGTGATGGTGCACAAGACACCATAACATGGTGGTGACCACAGCTCAGGTGTTCAGACAAGACCTTAGTGATAGTGCACAAGACACCATAACATGGTGGTGACCACAGCTCAGGTGTTCAGACAAGACCTTAGTGATGGTGCACAAGACACCATAACATGGTGGTGACCACAGCTCAGGTGTTCAGACAAGACCTTAGTGATAGCGCACAAGACACCATAACATGGTGGTGACCACAGCTCAGGTGTTCAGACAAGACCTTAGTGATGGTGCACAAGACACCATAACATGGTGGTGACCACAGCTCAGGTGTTCAGACAAGACCTTAGTGATAGTGCACAAGATACCATAACATGGTGGTGACCACAGCTCAGGTGTTCAGACAAGACTTTAGTGATGGTGCACAAGACACCATAACATGGTGGTGACCACAGCTGAGGTGTTCAGACAAGACCTTAGTGATGGTGCTCAAGACACCATAACATGGTGGTGACCACAGCTCAGGTGTTCAGACAAGACTTTAGTGATAGTGCACAAGACACCATAACATGGTGGTCACCACAGCTCAGGTGTTCAGACAAGACCTTAGTGATGGTGCACAAGACACCATAACATGGTGTCGTGTGTCATCACCCTTGTCTCCCCAACCATCGGGTGGGGTGATGATACACGACCATCACCATAACCCTACCCTCCTCCTCATACCATCACCCTACCCTCCCCCTCATACCATCACCCTACCCTCCCCCTCATACCATCACCCTACCCTCCCCCTCATACCATCACCCTACCCTCCTCCTCATACCATCACCCTACCCTCCCCCTCATACCATCACCCTATCCTCCCCCTCATACCATCACCCTACCCTTTCCCTCACCCCCATCAACCTACCCTCCCCCTCACACCATCACCCTACCGTCCCCCTCATACCATCACCCTACCTCCCTCTCACACCATCACCTTCCCCTGATAATAACCCTCCCTCCCCCACACTCCCTCTCCCTCTCCCTACCCTCCCTCCTCACAGCATCACCCTACCCTCTCCCCTCACTCTATCACCCTACCCTACATACCCATCACCCTTCTCCCCCTCACAACATCACCCTACCCCCCCCTCCCCCTCACCACCATCCCCTCTTCACCCTACCCTACCCCTCACCCTACACATCACTCTACCCTCCCCATCTCACACCTATCATCATCCTATCCTCCTCCTCCCCCATCACACCCAACACCCTACCCTGCCCTGTCACCTTCATCGCCCTACCTTTCCCGCACCCTCATCATCCTACCCTCCCCCTCCCCCCTCACCCTACCCTCCCCCCCTCACACCCAACACCCTACCGTCCCCTCATCCCCTCACCCGCATCACCCTACCCACCCCTCACCCTCATCACCCTACCATCCCCCACCATCAATCATCCTACCCTGCTGTCACACTGGTACTCGAGGCCAGGATCCCCTCACTCTTGAAGTACCCTACCCCCTCACACTCATCACCCTACCATCCCCCACCATCAAGTACTCTACCCTGCTGTCACACTGGTGACGAGTTTTGGAGATATTTTTGAAGTACTCTATTCTGCTGTCACACTGGTATCGAGGCCAGGAGATACTCTTGAAGTACTCTATCCTGCTGTCACACTGGTAACGAGGTCTTGAGAGACTCTGGCAGAACCCTACCCTACTGTCACAAAGGTGACGAGGCACCACTTGACAGCTTGTTTTCTAAAAATCACTACCTTCCTCGTCGCTTCCAGCTTGCCCTTGCCTCCCTGAAATCTAACAATCCTATTCTTATCCTTCCTTCCGACAAAGGCAATTCGGTGGTTGTCCTTGACCGTGAGGACTACCTCCAGAAAGCAGATGTCCTGCTCTCTTACTCCCGCACTTATGCCCACTGACTTCTAACCCTTTGGATCGCCTTAAAACTTCCTTTAACCGCAAACTAAGACAGCTCTCTAGTGTTTGTCCTCCTGACTTCGACCTCAATAAACGTTTCCGTGTCATCTGCCCTTCTCTTCCTTATTTTTAGGGTCTATCTAAGACTCATAAACCTGATGTTCCTCTTCGTCCAATCATTTATTCACGGGGCTCTGTCGGCTATCTTCTTGCCTCCTGGCTCGCTAAAACCCTGACGCCTTACCTTGGCACTTTTTCTCCTGCTCACCTTCATCACGCTCAGGACTTAATAGAAAGACTGCGCCTGCAGCCGTCCTGTAAGATGCTTAGTCTTGATGTCGACTCTCTGTTCACTAATGTTCCCCTCGATGACGTTCTCTCTTTCCTTAGACAGAAGGCTACTGGGGTCCTTCTTCCTCTCCCGCTTCCCACTGACGTTTTCCTTAAACTCATTAGACTCTGTGTTGACTCTCCTTCTCTTTCAATGGTAAATATTACACTCAAACTAGGTGTCGCTATCGGTTCCCCTCTCTCCCCTGTTCTTGCCAATTTCTACATGGAATACTTCGAGATTGTTCTTCTACTTCTTCCTTCTATTGATACTCGTCCCTCTCTCTGGCTTCGCTATGTTGATGACATTTTTTCTTTATCGCCTCATGACCTTCGTCTTTTCCAGCCTTTCCTCGCCTCTCTTAACAATCAGGCTCCTTCCATCCATTTCAAAGTTGAATGGGAATCTAATTCCCTCCTTCCTTTCCTTGACGTTCACGTTCACAGCTCTGTGTCCGGGTTCTCTATCTCTGTCTACCGCAAACCCCTGCATAGCGGCATGTACATTCACTTCTTTTCCTACCATCCTCCTTCTGTTAAGAAAAGTGTCCTCGTCTCTCTCTTCCTCCGCGCTCTACGCATCAGCGACCCTCAGTTTCTTGATTCTGAAATTGCCTTTATCTACAAATCATTCTCTCGCCTTGGTTACCCTTTGTATTTTATATACTGTGCCTACTCTCAAGCTAATCGAAATTTTTTTCTTGCTAAACCTGCTTCCAACTCTAGTAGCACTGTGCTCTGCCTTCCCTTCATATCTGAACTCAAAACGTTTACTAATACCTTTCGTCCTCATGACATAAAACTCACCTTTCGACAAACTAACACACTTCGCAGCAATCTAGTTCACACTGCTCTTCCTGCTTCTAATGCCGCTGGTGTCTACTCTATTTCCTGTTCGTCTTGTCCTCTCCAATACTTAGGTGAAACTAGCCGTACACTTAATGACAGACTTAAAGAACACAAAGAAGTGTTAAGTCTGCAGACACAAACAATGCTCTCTTCTGTCATGTTTGGGATTCTAATCATTCTATTGACTGGTCTTCCTTCAAAATAATCTTTCCTGCCTCTACAGAGACGCCGTCGTGTTGAATCGGCTCTGATACACAACATAACCAACATGAACTTGAGTCCTGGTTTTATTGCTGTTGACTCTCACCTTTCACAGTATATACTCAACTGCTCTAAACTTTCAAACAAGCGTGACCTAACGTAGGCTTACCCTTACATTTATCTTAGTTTGTTTCTTTCTTTTTTTTCCTTGTTTTCTCTAACGATCCTTTTTTTTTCCTTTATTATATTTAATTATTTGTTATTCCTTTATTTTTTAAGAATTATTTCTTATTCCTTTATTTTTTAAGAATTATTTCTTATTCCTTTATTATACTTTACCTTTAGTACCTTTTGCCTTGCTTTTCCTTCTCTATGATTTCCTTCTCCTTATCTCTCTCTTGCCAATTTATTGCCTTCGCCTCCTTCTCTCATCACAATCGACTTGAGAATGGTATATCTAGGATATCTTGAGATGATTTCAGGGCTTAGCGTCCCCGGGGCCCGGTCCTCAACCAGGCCTCCTTTTTGTTACATACCCCCCCAGGAAGCAGCCCGTAGCAGCTGGGCTGCTACAGGCTGTTTCTAGGGGCATGGGGGCCCTGCGGGTACTTGGGCCCGTACCCAGCAGGTACGGGCCCAGGTACCTATTTACTGCTAGGTAACAGGGGCATCAGGGTGAAAGAAACTTTTTGCCCATTTGTCTCCGCCTCCATCGGGGAACGAACCCGGAACCTCAGGACTATGAATCCGAAGCGCTATCCACTCAGCTCTCTTGCGCCCGTACAGGACGGGCCGAAACGTCGTCGTCCCTTCACTTTCTAGTGTGTGGGTTTGGTCAACATATTTCAGTCACGTTATTGTGACTCCTCGTCTGCACTCTAGAAGTTCTCTACCCTGCTGTCGCACTGTTGACGAGGCTAGGAGATACTCTTGAAGTGCTCTACCCTGTTGTCACACTTTTGACGAGGCCAGGAGATACTATAGAAGTACTCTACCCTGCTGTCACACTGTTGACGAGGCATTGAGGGACTCTTGAAGTACTCTACCCTGCTGTCACACTGGTAACGAGGTCTTGAGGGACTCTTGAAGTACTCTACCCTGCTGTCACACTAGTAACGAGGACTTGAGGGACTCTTGAAGTACTCTACCCTGCTGTCACACTAGTAACGAGGACTTGAGGGACTCTTGAAGTACTCTACCCTGCTGTCACACGGGACGAGACCTTGAGGGACTCTTGAAGTACTCTACCCTGCTGTCACACTGGTAACGAGGTCTTGAGGGACTCTTGAAGTACTCTACCCTGCTGTTACACTGAGGACGAGACCAGGAGGCTTCATGTGAATCATAATATTTCACAAATATAGACAGAAGGTGATATGCAGAAATAGACTGACCTGTGAGAAGTCGATATTCTCCACCTCTTTCTTAAGGACATCTCTGATGCAGTCCCGAAGAGGGAAGCCGCTCTTCACATACACTTTGTTAGCCAAGTGTATCACATAGTCACTCGTGTTGCTCTGTCTCTTTGCGGTTCTGTAGGGGCATCTTAATTATTATATCTAATACATGCGTTTATAAACGCTCATAAATAACAAGTTAAAGAGGACTCAAATATTCAATTATACATATAGTAATTAAGATGACAAGTGAGGAATGTGAGTGGACTCACAGACGGTCGAGGGCCCTGTAGGTAGCCAGAGTGGTTGAAGGGTCTCTGAGACGAAGGGTGTCCTGCAGCTGCTGACGAGTCCTGCCAGCAGACCCAAAGTAGGCCAGGACCAGGGCGGTCCACACGCTGTAGGGCGAGAAGAAAAAGTTTCCTGTGGCGGTGGGTGGATAGAGCTGCTTGAAGAGGTCCAAGCTGAAGGGGGTGATGTGGGCCAGGTCATGTCGGAAGGTCACCAGCTTGTCATTGTTGGAGATACACTGAGGCCTCACCACACTCACCAGCGTCACCACCAACACTGCTGCACACCACAGCTTCCTCATACTGTGGGGAAGAGGACTGTAGCAGCGGCGCTCCACCAACATTGATGACTACTTTATTATATTACAAATACCAATATCGTAATGAATTAAATATTTATATAAGTAGAAGCTCGCAGTCGTGTGAGGAGAGTTGTGGTGTAATAGTTTTGTTGGTGATGGGTGGTGGTGATGGAGGGTGGGGTGCGGGGTGGTGGTGATGAATGGTAGTGATATGTGCAGGTGATGGGGTGCTGGTAATGGGTGGCGGTGATAAGTGGTGGTGATGGGTGGTGATGATGGGTAGTGGTGACAGGTGGTGGTGATAAGTGGTGGTGATGGTTGCTGGTGATGGGTGGTGGTGACAGGTGGTGGTGATGGGTGGTGGTGATGGGGCAGTGGTGACAGGTGGTGGTAATGGGTGGTGGTGAAGGGTGACGGTGATGGACAGTGGTAATGGGTGGCGTTGACAGGTGGTGGTGATGGGGCTGTGGTGATGGGTGGTGGTGATGGGTGGTGGTGATGGGCAGTGGTGAAAGGTGACGGTGATGGGCAGTGGTGACAGGTGGTGGTGATGGGTGGTTGTCATGGGTGGTTGTCATGGGTTGGGGTGATGGGTGGTGGTGATGAGTGGTGGTGATGGATGGTGGTGATGGGTGGTGGTGATGGGCGGTGGTGATGGGTGGTGGTGATGGGCGATGGTGATGGGTAGTGGTGATGGGTAGTGGTGATGGGTGATGGTGATGAGTGGTGGTGATGGGTGGTGGTGATGGGTGGTGGTGAAGGGTGGGGGTGAGGCACTATACACTCACCCACTATAAACACTCACCCACTACACAGACACACACACACACACACATACACACACACACATACACACACACACACACACACACACACACACACACACATGGGTGGTTGTCATGGGTTGGGGTTTCTTCGGTTCCCAGTGTGACAGCAGGGTAGAGTACTTCAAGAGTCCCTCAAGTCCTCGTTACCAGTGTGACAGCAGGGTAGAGTACTTCAAGAGTCCCTCAAGTCCTCGTTACCAGTGTGACAGCAGGGTAGAGTACTTCAAGAGTCCCTCAAGTCCTCGTTACTAGTGTGACAGCAGGGTAGAGTACTTCATGAGTCCCTCAAGGCCTCGTTACCAGTGTGACAGCAGGGTAGAGTACTTCAAGAGTCCCTCAAGACCTCGTTACCAGTGTGACAGCAGGGTAGAGTACTTCAAGAGTCCCTCAAGTCCTCGTCCCGTGTGACAGCAGGGTAGAGTACTTCAAGAGTCCCTCAATGCCTCGTTACCAGTGTGACAGCAGGGTAGAGTACTTCAAGAGTCCCTCAAGTCCTCGTCCCCAGTGTGACAGCAGGGTAGAGTACTTCAAGAGTCCCTCAATGCCTCGTTACCAGTGTGACAGCAGGGTAGAGTACTTCAAGAGTCCCTCAAGTCCTCGTTACCAGTGTGACAGCAGGGTAGAGTACTTCAAGAGTCCCTCAAGTCCTTGTCACCAGTGTGACAGCAGGATAGAGTACTTCAAGAGTCCCTCAAGTCCTCGTCCCCAGTATGACAGCAGGGTAGAGTACTTCAAGAGTCCCTCAATGCCTCGTTACCAGTGTGACAGCAGGGTAGAGTACTTCAAGAGTCCCTCAAGGCCTCGTTACCAGTGTGACAGCAGGGTAGAGTACTTCAAGAGTCCATCAAGGCCTCGTCACCAGTGTGACAGCAGGGTAGAGTACTTCAAGAGTCCCTCAAGTCCTCGTTACCAGTGTGACAGCAGGGTAGAGTACTTCAAGAGTCCCTCAAGTCCTCGTTACCAGTGTGACAGCAGGGTAGAGTACTTCAAGAGTCCCTCAAGTCCTCGTTACCAGTGTGACAGCAGGGTAGAGAACTTCAAGAGTCCCTCAAGTCCTCGTTACCAGTGTGACAGCAGGGTAGAGTACTTCAAGAGTCCCTCAATGCCTGACCAGGGTCCTTGACTTTTATACCATGCAAGGTGAAGGAGAAGATCGTGAGAAAAAACCCGGTAACACATCTGGAGAGAAGGGACTTCGTGACAAATCGCCTACATGGGTTCAGGGAGGGTAAATCTTGCCTTACAGGCTTGATAGAATTCTACGATCAGGTGTCAAAGATTAAGCAAGAAAGAGGCTTCAAGAAGACCTAGACAAGCTGAAGGAATGGTCGAGCAAATGGTTGTTAGAGTTTAACCCAACCAAATGTAATGTAATGAAGATAGGTGTAGGGAGCAGGAGGCCAGATACAAGGTATCATCTGGGAGAGGAAATTCTTCAGGAGTCAGAGAAGGAAAAAGACTTGGGGGTTGATATCACGCCAGACCTGTCTCCTGCAGCACATATCAAGAGGATAACATCAGCAGCATATGCCAGGTTGGCTAACATAAGAACGGCCTTTAGAAACTTGTGTAAGGAATCTTTCAAAACATTATATACCACATATGTCAGACCAATCCAGGAGTATGAGGCTCCAGCATGTAGTCCATATCTAGTCAAGCATAAGACTAAACTGGAAAAGGTTCAAAGGTTTGCCACCAGACTAGTACCCGAGCTGAGAGGTATGAGCTACGAGTAGAGACTACAGGAATTAAACCTCACTTCGTTGGAAAACAGAAGAGTTAGGGGGTACATGATCACCACATGCAAGATTCTCAAGGGAATCGACAGGGTTGATAAAGACAGGCTGTTTAACACAAGGGGCACACGCACTAGGGGACACAGGTGGAAACTGAGTGCCCAAATGAGCCACAGAGATATTAGAAAGAACTTTTTTAGTGTCAGAGTGGTTGACAAATGGAATGCATTAGGAAGCGATGTGGTGGAGGCTGACTCCATACACAGTTTCAAGTGTAGATATGATAGAGCCCAATAGGCTCAGGAACCTGTACACATGTTGATTGATGGTTGACAGGCGGGACCAAAGAGCCAGAGCTCAACCCCCGCAAGCACAACTAGGTGAGTACAACTAGGTGAGTACACACACACACACACACACACACACACACACACACACACACACACACACACACACACACACACACACACGCGCGCACACACACACACACACACACACACACACACACACACACACACACACACACACACACACACACACACACACACACACACACACACACACACACACACACACACACACACACACACACACACACACACACACACACACACACACACACACACACACACACACACACACACACTACAAATGACAAGGAAGTGTGTGAGGAATTGAATAAGAAATTCCAGGAGGTCTTCACCTTAGAACAAGGAGAAATTCCAGAGGTAAGTGAGGGAATAGCTAACCAGGAACCACTGGAAGAGTTTGAGATTACCAGTGGGGAAGTAAGGAAGTGTTTACTAGAGTTGGATGTGACAAAGGCTATAGGCCCAGATGGAATCTCCCCTTGGGTTCTAAAGGAAGGAGCAAGAGAACTGAGCCTACCACTCTCCATAGTGTATAACAAATCACTGGCAACAGGGGAACTGCCAGATATTTGGAAAGCAGCTAACGTAGTCCCGATATACAAGAAAGGGGATAGACAGGAGGCACTGAACTACAGGCCAGTGTCCCTAACCTGCATACCATGCAAGCTGATGGAGAAGATTGTGCGAAAAAAACTAGTGGAGCATCTGGAGCGAAGGAACTTTGTAACACAGCATCAACATGGGTTCAGGGATGGCAGGTCCTGCCTCACAGGGTTACTTGAATTCTACGACCAGGCAACAAAAATAAGGCAAGAAAGAGAAGGGTGGGCAGACTGCATATTTTTGGATTGTCAGAAAGCCTTTGATACAGTGCCACACAAGAGGCTAGTGCGAAAGTTGGAGATGCAGGCTGGAGTGAGAGGGAAGGTACTCCGGTGGATAGAGGAATACCTAAGCAACAGGAGACAACGAGTCTGTGTGAGGGGTGAGGTCTCAGATTGGCGAGACGTCACAAGTGGAGTCCCGCAGGGGTCAGTCCTTGGACCTATACTGTTTCTGGTATATGTAAATGATCTCCCAGAGGGTATAGATTCGTTCCTCTCAATGTTTGCCGACGATGCAAAAATTATGAGGAGGATTGAAACAGAGGATGATAGTAGGAGGCTACAAGATGACCTGGATAGACTGAGTGAATGGTCCAACAAATGGCTGTTGAAGTTCAACCCGAGTAAATGCAAAGTAATGAAACTAGGAAGTGGAAACAGGAGGCCAGGCACAGGATACAGAATAGGAGATGAAGTACTTAATGAAACAGACAGAGAGAAAGATCTAGGAGTTGATATCACACCAAACCTGTCTCCTGAAGCCCACATAAAGAGAATAACGTCTGCGGCATATGCGAGGCTGGCTAACATCAGAACGGCGTTCAGGAACCTGTGTAAGGAATCATTCAGAATCTTGTACACCACATATGTAAGACCAATCCTGGAGTATGCGGCCCCAGCATGGAGCCCGTACCTTGTCAAGCACAAGACGAAGCTGGAAAAAGTCCAAAGGTATGCTACTAGACTAGTCCCAGAACTAAGAGGCATGAGTTATGAGGAAAGGCTGCGGGAAATGCACCTCACGACACTGGAAGACAGAAGAGTAAGGGGGGACATGATCACAACCTACAAAATCCTCAGGGGAATCGACCGGGTAAACAAGGACGAACTTTTCAACACTGGTGGGACGCGAACAAGGGGACACAGGTGGAAGCTGAGTACCCAAATGAGCCACAGAGACGTTAGAAAGAACTTTTTCAGTGTCAGAGTAGTTAGCAAATGGAATGCATTAGGAAGTGATGTGGTGGAGGCTGACTCCATTCACAGTTTCAAATGTAGATATGATAGAGCCCAATAGGCTCAGGAATCTGTACACCAGTTGATTGACGGTTGAGAGGCGGGACCAAAGAGCCAGAGCTCAACCCCCGCAAGCACAATTAGGTGAGTACACACACACACACACACACAGTTGGAAAGTTGGAGATCACAACAACACACAGTTGCGAAAGTTGGAGATGCAGGC